ACACTCATGTAAAAACATTTGCACTCACAATGAGAAAACAAAAGATCGTCTTCCCTCATACATTCCATTTCTTCAATATCATACGTCTCTGAGATATGGGACAAACTAAAACATTTGTGTGTATTTGCATATCTATGTTTAAAAAATAAAGAAACAAACAAAAAAAACTATGTAAAAAAAAAAGGACATCATAAATAACATCACATAATCTGGTATAAATTCCATATTAAAGTGAACTGCAAATTTGCAAAACGGATTTTTCTATTTGAGAGGAACGTGACAATTTAGTTCCTTTATCAGTATTACGCAATAGTTATGGAGACTGTGAAGTAAGAATAAAGAATTGAACTGAAATTTTGAGAGAGAATTTGGAGGACATATTACATTTGCCAAAGTCACAGTATGGTCCTCATATCCTGACAAACTATAGAGAGCCTAGGACAGGGCCCTGCAGAGAACTAGATTACTTCCATGAAGACTGTCATTGACATATCTAAGTGTACTTAAAAGGCTTTTAGCTGTAAATCCCACCTACCCTTAAAATCAAGTATTCCTGTTAACATTTAATAAATCACTATAAACAGAGGAAGCTCAAGGATTTGGAAAGGATTAAAATCATGATCCAGTAGATATTATTCTAGCTCATCTTCCTTAAAAGCACATAGCTTTTAAGAACAACAGAAGGGAGCTGAAGACAAGGCATATTTTTTTTTGAACTTTTATAATTTTTTACTTTTTTCACTTTTAGATACAGTTTTCTTCAAAACCAATCGAATAAGGCCTTAAATGAAATATCCATATTCAGAAAAATCCATCCCAGATCTTAGCAAAACAATGTAGAAAACCAGAACAAAAAGAAATATCTCCAATATTTTTGTAAAATTCCAATATAGTTTTTTGGTTTGTTTCTCCCAAAATGAAAAGATATTTACAGCAAACTCAATTTCAGATGCATGCACTGCAGAGATTCATATGCACCTCAAATTCAGCATTCCCCATCAGCTGGAATTTGCCAGCTCCCCAGAAAGCCTGAGAGATCTGATGAAATTTGAATTCTTCTCACTCATTGCACAATGAATCTTAAAAACCTCTTCCTTTCTTTTTCTAAGCAAGAATTAAATTAGAGTAAGATTCAGAAAGGCATCGTGCCCTTTCTAAATTTGTGACTTTACAGAAATGAAAGGTAAGTATATACATTGTGTCTCAGATTAATTTTAGCAACACTTCCTCACAGTTTTTGTACTGTAAATAATAAAAAAAATATATACATAAAAAAAGCAACTAACTTCTGTGGACCTGGCTTAGCTCACAAGAGACCAAAGGACCACTTTAAAGGAATATGGCATACAGAAGTTAGGTGTTACCTGCAGGAGTCCAAAAACACAATACTTGTAAAGCATACCAGCTTCTACATGAAACAGATCAATAACTGTTTATATTCACTTAGTATATTCACCAAACTAAGCCATTTTTTTCATTATCTATACTTACATATGCTCTAATGAGTTTTAGCTAACAGACACAAAATCATACATGTATGAAATCCATGTCATATCATACTTGCATTAGAAATGTATGCAGTGTGCCAAAAATTCCTCCAAAACAAACTATTCACAGGAGATTACACAACAACAACCTGCTTTTCAAGAATCCTGCTTCCTCAGTGTATACCTCACTTCTGCTCTGAGTGTTTTCTCCACAGTTTCAGCACTGATGAAACCAGAAAGAATACTGCAAGCATTAATGACTCATGTGCACAATAATATTTTTCCTGCACCTTCAGTTGGCTAAAAGGAATACTATCTTGAGGCAAAATACACTCCTGAATTATGTATGGGAATAAACATGAGCCCTGAAATACAGTGCAAATTCTGTATCGCCCTTTTTGTTTACATTGGAACTGTTTTGGACAGGCAGACTCTTAGAGGAGATTAAGGATGAAATTTACCTGGAAGTTTATGGGAATGGAGGGACTAAAACCTTTGAATTCAAAGGGGGGAGTCATGCCTCTAGTTACGTAGTTATTTAAAAAAAAACAACCAAACAAACAAAAACCCTACACGTCATCTTTAAGACAAAACTGACAGAAGATTCACATAGCTATCTAACATCAATAAATTACAACTTAAAAGGAACATTTTTCTGAACATTATCTTTAAATTTACTTTAGTTTTATTGAATTTTATTTATTTTAAAAAATTCAGAATATTTTTACATTCCAGACTTCCTGCCAGCAACAAGTGGAATAAATACTGTTACATGTTTTCTACTAACATAGCATAAGATCAAGGCAATCATTTGAAATCCTTTGACTTCACTGCCAGATGAAATAACATAAATATAGAGCACCACCATAAGCTAAGAGCGGTTGTCAATCATGAATTAAAAATTATTTGACATCCAATATTAGAACTTCTATACTAAGAATCAATTTAAGTCACTTAACTACTCTCCTAATTTCAAACTTTTCATGATTAAAATGTGATTCTGGTAAAAGGTGCTAGTAAACAAGTTGGATTTTTAAAAGAATTACATGGGAGTTTCTCTTTTCTATATTCATTCTTTGAAATACATAGCACCAAAATCCAGGTATTAACTTAATTTTGACAGACAGAATACACTGAAATAACTGAATATGGAAAAAGAGTACTTCAAAATATTTTTTAAGATTTTTTTTTTTAGTTTGATTTTCCACTTACAAGAGATGACCCAAATAACAGTTATATGTGAACAATACTTTACAGTTGAGAGTTAAATCTTCATTAGATTTAGCCATAGTTATTTCTATGAACTCTGTAAGTGATAGTGAATGATAAGTTATAAGAAGCAAACTGAAAAACAGATCCTATGATTTCAACTGCTGAGCAGTGTATGAAATTCAAAAAAATAATTTAATAAACAGAAGAGGTATAAAGAAACATCTTCAGAATCCTTTATCTCCAAAGAAAGAAACACTTTAAGTAAGAATATTTAAACTTCTTCCCAGAAAAATAGATTCCTAGAACTGGACAGTAAATTTCTCATGATAGGGGCCAGAGTACAAAAGAACTGACTAAGACACTTGCCAAAAGAAATAAATAGATGAAAAAAAATTAAAAAGTGCTTCGATACTTGTAGAAAAGGTTGAATATTTAGGCTCTATAAATTGGAAAGAGAATGCTGAGTACTTTTGCAAAGGTAATATGGAAGGTTCCATTAAGTTTCTAAGAAAATGCTAGTCGACTTCACTGTGGAAATGGAACACTAAAATACAAGGATGATATAGCATCAAATATGCCAATTATTTTAATTAGATTTTTGATACAACAAAGCAAGAAAATATGCAAATGTATAATTTAGCCTATTTCTATACATATCCTTTACACCAAATGTTACTGCTGAAATATAAAATTAAGGTTGTCTAAACTTCCCGTGTTCCTTTCTTCTAGCACCACAATCAACTTTTTTTTTCCTATATTTTTTTTCCTCTCAAAATTCATAGTTGAACTGATACAAGAACCAATACACCCAATCCCTACATTCAAAATTCTATCTAACCACATAAGAAAGCTCATATTAAGACATGTCAGAACATTTTTATTAGTACTGTTAAGAGTAAGAACCTGATCTTTCCAAATGCAGTACAGAAGTGTCAAAAAAACTAGAATACCTGGTTGACTGAAAATCTTCAAATTGACAAGTAAGCTTCATTATATAGCACCATCAAAATTGGCTGGAAAAACTAGCTATCATAAGGACAGAGCGCTCGTTGATGGCTTCCTCAGATGCATACACATTTCGATAGCCTAGGTAACAGTGTTTTTATAACTTTTTGCCATACTAAATTGACATCAAAAGCTTTCTTAATGCAGAAGAAAAAATCAGTCTTCAACCATAAAAGTAAGTAATTATGGGATACAGGACTTATGAAGAATCCATATGGGGAAAAAATTCATAATGATTGGGTTTGATTTATCAATTTACATTGCCTAGCTCAAAAGATAGCTTCTCATCAGTTAAGTTCCACACATATACAGTATATTTGATATCAAACTTAGCTGGAGGGTAAGCTGAAATATTATACTAATTTGTGCAGAGGAGTTGACATGATGTACAGTGGCCTAAAGCTCTAAGTGGAACCCTATGGGGAATGATGAAACACTTTTATCAAATGATTGCTGCATTAATAATGGAAATCTAGGATCATTTTCTGTCATTTAAATTGCTTGTGAGGACATATGTAATTAATACCACGTATTGACTTTCACCAGTCTTAAGAAAGCTTATGCTTTGGAAAAAGAATAGTTGCTTTCTATACTGACGGTCTACTCTTTTCTGTTTACCTTTTCTTAGAAAAAGTAGCTTTACTTTAACAGTTCACCAGTCCTAAATAAGTCATCATGAACTACCGCGTATCTGCTAACAGAGAGAGCAATTTGCATGGTATTAGATGTGCTTGCCTATCATATCTAAAAGATTTGTCTCATCTTAACTTTCCAAGTTTAAAAACCTATATTCATGTTAGGCTAAATACTCTCAGCATGAGAGTATTTATATACTCTCAGGAATTTTAACTGTTTTTGTTCTTGAAAAACATGTTCTAAATATTCCATTAGATTTAGAAAGTAACAAGGCTTCCAGTTTTTAGGAAGCAGTCTTGATCTTAAACCCGCAAGGGTGCAACAGTTCATCTTCCCTGCATGCCTTCAACCCAACCCATCTATCACACTGAAAACAACCGTTTATTAGTAGAGCACAGATAAACAGAAAACACCCTAACATATCTCCCAGGCTGCTGTTATTTACCCGACTTCGTATCTCCAATGATACTCAGATGCTCAGGGCTTATTTAAGAGCTTGAGAATTATGAGTTATCAGAAGAGAATAGGAAAATGTAGATGTTAGAAAAAAAAAAAAAAAGATTTATAAACAACACATTTTTCTACACATTTCTTCTCTACATATGCTGATGTGCCATGAAATCTCTATCTCCAATTGACACAGAACATAGTTATACATACCACAGTTTGGTGGTTAACTTGAATCACTTCATCCCCAGCATGGATTTTCTTGCACCGATCTGCAGGTGACTGAATTTAAAATAAAAGAGATGATAAAGAATACAGTTCTTACTGGTCATCATCTCTCTTTCAGCAGTATGGTTGCTAAGGTATGTAAATCAGGTTAGACTGATAATTACATTCCACTGTGAAATGAAGAATTTAAGAAATATTTGGTAAATTAATTCATTGTTGTTGGAGAAAAATAATCTGTGTTATGGTATACAATGCAATAAACTGGTAAGAATGGTATGAATATATGTATTTAGAGAGGGTAACCAAATCTTAAGGATTTATTTTTAATTTCATTCCCCCAAAGGACTGCTTTAAGCCACCTGACATCTCTTAAACCCATCTTTGCCTGAATGTTGAACCTATCAAGACTCATTTGAAATTGCTTCATAAACAAAACTCATAACATTGTCTTTTTAGTTATTTTCTAATATTTCAATTGGTTCCAGAGAACTTCAGTAAATCAACGTTCTTCAAAGACTACATAAGGAGAGAGGACTAGGCTAGGAAGATCATACAAGTTACATGGTAACTTAGTTTCTAGGTCATTATTAGGGCAAAAGTATTGCAATCAGTATCAAAATCCTACTGAGATCACACTTTCAAAAAGCAAAGTAGTTTTGTTCTTTGTTTTTGCCTCAAAAAACACACACCCACATATGCACACAACAACAAAAAAATTCTCCTCTTTGGTCACCTATATTTACAGTAGACCAACTGTTTTATAGGGGGAAAAAAACAAAAACAAAACACCTACGTTTAAAGGAGTTAAAGTTCATTAAGCTTTTCATAGAGTGACAATTTATGATTTCTCTCTCAATACTGTGGCTGCCACTCTATGAAGTCACTTAAGTCAACTTAAAGTTAGAAGTTGAGACTGACAGTTTGAAAGAAAAAAAAAAAAGAAGAAAAAAATCAACAAGTTGCTCAGGATCAGCTTTCCAAAAAGCTGCCATGAATTTTACAGAAATGATGGAATTAAGTTTAATTAATTTTCAGGTGAGATAACATGCAGTCTTGAGAACATGCTCCAGGACTGCAGTGTGGATTCTTTGTGATAACCTATGTACTATATCCCTATCCAAAAATGTGTGTCCCATAGCTGTGCTATGACTTTCCAGTGCAGTTCCACATGTCATGGCTTAACCTAAAAACAGTGTTTAAATGGAAGATATCCAAGAGAAACGTGAGTTTAACAGAAGGGTCACTCACAACTCAGTTCTAGGAGGCATTGCTCAGAACATTTTAAATCAAGCTGGGCTGGTAAAAGTGTAATTTTAGTTAGATAAGAAAAGCTGCCTTGACTATTTGGCACTATTCAGCATTAAAGGTGTTGACTTTGGGAAAAATGACGTTCCAGTGATCTACCTTCTGACATTTCACTACTCACATCTCTTCATTCATCCCTCTAAAAATCTTCATAGTCTTGCTATGTAGCATTGCTGTTTTAGCTCAGATGTTATTACAACCAAGACTTTCAAAACGTCTATGCAAGTGAATCCCATGTTGCCACCATTTAACATAATGGGTCTTTATTATAATATAAAATTTTATCCTGTACAGACTTCAGCATTTACAGCTTAAATTTTTCTTGACAAAACAGGTATTTTTGTGTAGCACTTGGCAAAGTAAAGCAGGGTCTGGGAATCTTCAAATTGGAAAAGTATATTGTAAAAAAAATAATAATTCAAATTATGCTTGGAATACTCTGCAAGATGATGTAAAAATCATTTAAACAGGAGTCTCAAGGCTGTGGTCTTGTGAAGAAGTTGCAACTCTTCTTTTTTTTTTTTTTTTTTTTTAAGATGCATATGATGATATTTAAGCAAAACATCCACTTGCGAAGCTCTGCTAGGAGGAACAAAGGGTTCTGATGGATGAAAAGCTCTACATTAGCCAGCAGTGTGCACTTGCAGCCCAGGAGGCCAACTACATCCTAGGCTGCATGTGACAAGCAGGTCAAAGAAGGTGTCTGTCCCCCTCTATTCAACCCTGGCTGAGGCCCCTCTTGGAATGCTGCGTTCAGGTCTGGGGCCCCCAGCTCAAGAAGGATGTGGGGCTGTTAGAGTGGGTCCAAACGAGAGCCATGAAAATTATCAGAGCACCTCTCCTATGAAAAAAGGCTGAGAGAGCAGAGAATGTTCAGCCTATAGAAGAGAAGGCTCCGGGGTGACCTCACTGCAGCTTTTCAATACTGTGGGGGGGAGTAGGGGGTATCTTATATAAAGGATGGAGAAGGACTCTTTACTCAGGTAGATAATGATAGGAAAAGGGGAAAAGGTTTTAAAATAAAAGAGGGGAGACTTAGATTAGAGGTTAGAAGGAAGTTTTTCACTCAGAGGGAGGTGAGGGACTGGCACAGGTTGCCCAGAGAGGCTGTGGATGCCCCATCCCTGGAGGTGTTCAAGACCAGGTTAGATGAGTTCCTGAGCAACCTGATCTTCAGGGTGGTGTCCCTGCCTATGACAGGGGAGTTGGAACTAGGTGATACTTGAGGTCCTTCCAACTGAGGCCATTCTATGATTCTATGAACAAAGTCCTGTCATGTCTGTATCTTCATTAGCTGGTAATTTGAGGGGTAATTAAAAGGGATTTAAACAACAGATGGAAGTACCTGTTCCTGAGGTTCACACATTCATATTGTACAAGGTAAACAAAATGTGTTCAGATTTTATTCTTCAGAATAGATTTAGTTTTGTCCTTTAGGTTAAACGTTGTCTTTGTCCCATTTTCTCAGTATACCCAAACTGTCTAAAAGATCAATTTATACCACCCTGCCCTCATTAAGGGATGGAGCATATAAATGCATGCATATAAATCTGCATGTACAGATTTGGGTATTATTTCTTCTAAGGTCTCTCCTCCCTGAGCTCTAAGGATACCTGCAAACTTGACTAGTGCACATTAAGTGGGAACACTGGGAACAATTCCTTTAAAGTTACAGTCCTGCTGTATATGCAGCCCAAAACATTATTCAGAAAATACCTTTTTCATTTGGAAAACCAAATTACAAAATGACCTTATCTGAAGAATACATTTGTTTTGTGAATGAAAAGCATCTCTCCAACATGGTCTAAAAGGGCTACTCAATAAGAAAGCTGTAATCTCCTGCTGGAACAATGCATCCTTTATAATTATTGCTTTCAATCAAGAGAGGGAAGACATGAACCAGAAAGCTCAAGTTCCTCTAACGCTACAGGACCACCAGAGAGAAGATCTTCCAGGGAAGTGACCTGTGATGAAACCTGCTCTCTCACACTTCAAGGTTCAGTGCTCAGATAATCTGAACTGCAGAACTTATGTGTTGGGAAAGATGGCTCCTAATACCAAACTACAAGGTGAAGACTAATAGATTTTGGAGCTAGCCAAAGCACTTCAAATTGCCAACAGATAAAGCAGAACTGTAGATTAGGTGTCTAGCATTGCTATGCTACTGTGTTTATTAAAAATAGAAGCGCTTCTCTGTGATCTCTCAGGAAGGTGTCAGATAAAATGTTGTGCCAATTTCTTCTCTTCTGGAGCAGAATTGGAAAGAAAAAGGCTATAAACTTTTGTTCAAAGGGAAGATAATCTGGATTCTTGCCGTTTCCTAGAAGTTTAGCTGTCCCGTAAGTGGTAAACAGCAATGGGTCAGATCACATCTGCACCACCACGACCTTACTCTGACCATGCTGCTTAGATGTTTCTCTTCCCATCTATCAAAGGAAATGGCTAGCTACTGTGTGTTTAAATCCAGAAGACACCTTACTTTCTCTAAGGCGCTACTCATTTTCACAAATATTTTAGCACACAACAGGATTTTCCCTAGATAGCAGACTGCAGTTTCTCAGCCTGCTGTGAGAACCTTAAGGCTGTTACAGTGACTGAAAGCATCAGTAACAAAAGCAGAAAAGTCATAATGACTGAAGCTTCCTGACATGGGTTTAAATTATATTCATGAATCACAAAAGATAAGCATTTTGAGGGAATGCATTAAGATTTTATTTTTATCTTTGCCCCTGGGAAATTAAATCCAATATTAGTAATTCATGGAAAGAAATGGTTCCTTTTACAATCTGAGAGAAATTCAACTGTAAAAAATATCTTCTTTCATATTTTTTCTACAGTTGGCTCAACAATGGTTCTGTTGTCTTTGTTTAGTTTTGCTAATTTTACTCAAGATATTTTGAGCTGTAGGCTCCCTAAGATTTTGATTTCAAGGGTGGAATTCCTTATGCTTTCCTTATTCTGAGAAAGGCAGCATTCTGAGACAGAAGTTCTGCAACAGATATCATCTATTGTGTATAACACATGGATATCCTGCCCGCAGCAAAAGAAAAAAAGAAAAAAGAAAGATTATCAGACTGCAGTTCTTGTGAAGGGACAAAAAAAGTATTCCTATTTTATTGAGAGGTTAACAGAACCTCACTGCAGATTAGATGCAGCAGCTGTAAATACCATGTAGGTAGTTTGTACTTTGCACAGTATGACACAGTAGCAGAATAAAACAAACATTTCTGACAGCTTCATCTTAGGAAACTGACATCAAAATCTTCAAAAGGAATTGCTTAAGCCATTGTGAAATGGTTCAGTATTGTTCAGTAGGTTATTCTGTGTTCATTGAAAATTATGGATAGAAGACTTTTTCTCCCAAATTGATCATCTTGCTCATTTCCTAACATACAGATAGTTCTCTGTATATGGTGTACAAGGAAAGGAGGTTGTATTTCAAGGGTCATTGAAAAGTGGTCTATTACGGTTTGCTTGCTGTTTAATACTTTCAATGAGAATTAGTACAACAGTAATAAGTGTTCCTTTCTAAAGGCATTGCTCAGTTCATGCAGAAACATATGCTTACTTGTCAACGTGAAGGGATGTCCTCATTTTCATGCACTTATTTATTACTAAATAAAGCTCAATAGATGGCAAATATGAAAGCCGTTTTTCTAATACTGCTGCAAACATCACTGTGTCAGTCTATACATAACCAAGATTTATCTTTTATTCATACAGCAAGGTAACTCCAAGATAGCTACCCCCTATCTTGATCAATTGAATCATTTTAGGTGTCTAGCAAGAGCAAATCAAAACTGATTCTCCTAGTTCTCAACTGGGAACAACTGTTTCAATTCTGAAATAAACAAGCACAAGCGTTTCTGCCGTCCAACATGCTATTGGTCCTCAACAGCCAACTAGCACACTTCTGCAAGCAAAACGTAGTCTATAGCAAAGGGAAAGCATAAACCACAGGTAAGGTCAAAAAGGCTTCCAGGCCTGAACATACAGTATTAACAATACTTACATTTTCTGTTGTTCCAGTAATTACATGGAGACCATCATATGTTGATTTAATGTACATACCCTAAGAAAAAGACATCATGGGAAAGAATTTTTAAAGTGTTTCACAAACGATCACCAACCAAACATAACTTGCATATCTCTAAAAGAAAAGCATGTTTTCTTTTTTTTTTTTTCCCCAAATTTTGCAAACTTTTAATATACGTCATGAGGAACTTGTATCTGGATAGAACAATGCTCTTTGACATACCTAGAGAACAACAGACCAAATGATTCTGGCCGTAATTAGCAATAGTAACCTAAAACTTTTACCATAGCCACCTCCACAAATGCTTCCCAGTTTTCTTATATACTGCTTCAACTACAAATGTAACAACAGTAGCATCTGATTAAGGCGACAAAAAAAAAAAAATAAAAAATTATGAATTGCCTTAGGATGATCAATACTTCCATTTTGTTTTGGAAGAAACAGAAGGCTTTAAACGACCTGGAATCTCTAGCAGAGACATGACATCCAAACTGATAACCAATGCTCTGAAGCATGCCTGTAAAATGGCCCAAAGACTTTCTGACTGTCTCACTCATCTCAGTGAACAGCTCAGTTACAAAACTCAATTATGACAACTTAAACATCAACTTTTTTAGATCTGCAACTTTTTTCAAAAAGTGTGGAAAAGGGGGGAAAAACTTCGGTACCTCAAATCTGTTTCTTCATCAAGTCAAAATACAAACATTTTAATAGCAACCACTAAGGTAGAAAAAGAAGGAAAAAAGAGAGATAGTTGATATATACTGCACATTTAAGCAACTTTTGAGGAATCTCCCTTCCTCCATTCAGTTAATAGAAAGCAGGTAAATAATGAAACTTGAGTAAACATTCTTTTAATTATCTTGAGTAATGTTACCTCCTTTTTCTCTTTTTAATCAGAGTGTTACAAAAAAAAGTCTGTTACTAGCTGAGGAACTACTGAAGTACAGTAAAGAGGCAAAGAAGACTTACCCAGTTGCACTAATCTAATTTGGGACCAGAACTCTGACATTTTGGTAGTGGGGAGAGTTCATGAGTTTCCTAGGAAAGGGGACTCAAAACTAGGCTTCTATTTTGCCCTGCATAGCATGCAGCATCAAATGCAGTTATCATGTTGGGCTGCCACAGCTTGAAGAGCACAAAGCAAGGATTTACTCATTCTTACACAGACATAGGAAGAAGATAGGAACCCCCTAACATTATCCTTTCACTTCCAGCTCCTCTATCCACCTTAAATAATTTTTCAATTGATTGGCTCTATGAATACAGTTTTCTGCTTGGCTCATTTACCTCAGATATAGAATGACAATTTCTTGTACATTTATCCTCACAACACCCCTGTGAGGTAGGGAAACACTAATATATACACATTTTACAGACAGAATAATGAGCCACACAAGAGGCTGAGACACATTGATATCTTTTTTTGGCACCTAATAACTACCTGAAACCAACAAAAACCAGGGCATAAATCCTTCTTACTGTTCAAATCTAAGTGACCCGACCACACAACCTGCATCGTGGCAAGAGCTGAAACCATAGTGACTTCGTGGTGGCAGGAATTATGAGTCAGGTCCACATAGAATACTTTCTGAAGAAAGTCACAGCTTTGCTTTTATTGACAATGGGCTACTGTTTCCAACTTAAATGTAAGGGAGAAAGCATAGGAAAAATAGTTACTTAATAGCTATTCAGTGTTTAGATTTGTGCAAAGCATTATTCTGAAGGATAGTAAGAGAATCCAAATATACTATTGTGGAGTACAGTTTGCATCCAATCTAGTGTTTTCTAGAAAATTTAAAACAATTTCCAGATGCAAAAGAGGAGAAAATTTCTGAAAAACAAACAAACAAACAAACAAAAAAAAACCTTTTAAAGCCAAAATCAAGATTTTGCACACATTGGGAAAGAGATCAAAGAGGGAAGCTGAAAAAAAAATGATATATTTATTCCACACCTGCAAAATTAACAAATGCTACACTGATACTACACAGTAAGTGTAAGTTTTGTAAGAGCCAACACCATTTTGTTTATAAAGCAATTGTTAAATAAGCAGATGTAACATTTTGCCATTTACAAATAAAAATGCAACAGAAAGATGAGCTATCCCTCCACATGCTTTTCTCCACTGCTTGTTGTGAATTATATATCATAAATGGTATATACAAAACAAGTTTTAGGGTACACTGTTTCACCTGTAATGAAAATAAGAATACCACAAATATTTACAATTTTTCCCCTCATTGCCGCCTTGTGGCTGCACAATATCAACACTATATTTAGTGATCAAGAACAGAGATTAGGGTGTGCTGTTCCTTTGTACTAAAACAAATTGGAAGATACACATCTTAAATATCAAAATATAATGCCAAAGTCCCTATGAGGTCAAGGAAAAGGAAAGATAATGCACTTAATATGACTAGAATAACCATACAGTAACCACCCTGGGAATCAAGAAAAAAAAGTCTAGATTAAAGACCAAGTAACTCATGCTTCATTACACCACAGATTGTTCTGATTAGTTATGGGCAGAAGTTTAAGTTTAAACAAAAATAAAGTGCATTGATTGGTTTGAAACATTATTGAGTTAAGGGTTAGAAAAGAGACCTTGGACATTTAAAAAAAAATGCAAGAACAGGATCTGATATACATTTAATATAATTTACGCAATGTTGGGTGGAAAATACAAGAAGATACTAATTCCATTTTATCACATACTTACTGAATTTTTACTCTTTCATTGTGACATCTTGATGCAGTCCCCCAAAGTTGCACTTGCCTCTTTAGCCATGAATGTGCTCCAAAATTGCAAAACAGCTCAAAAGTAAACTTGAGTGTCTCTTCAACTTAGCCTTAGAGCTCAGATAGGACTAAGATGACCAAAGTCCATGGTCCAAGGTCTCAAAACAATGTTAACATTTTTTCCTCAGTTTCTCCAGCATTTCAAGCCAAGTAACAAAGGAAAAGTATTAGGAATACTTTTCCTAATACTAGATTCATGGAAATTACTTTCTAGCTAGGCTAGGCATTCAGCAGTGCCCCTTTAAGTAGCTGCCACATTGTGCTCTATCTACAACTTGTATTTTATGAGTACTTTTTCTTGTGACAGGCTCATTTTATGTTCACTTCAGCAGGAAAAGAGGAACCAAGAACAATCAGTCTAATGTTCAAGCATATTCACCTTTGCATTTCTGAATCTAGCAAGCTAAGTGAATAGCTTGAACTTGAAATCCTATCACAGAACTGACTAGGTTCACTATACGACAACTATAGCCATCATATACATGAAATAGCATTAAATGAAAATATAAACAGGAGAAATTGAAATTCCACAGTTCTCTGATATTCTGTTCTATATTAAAAAAATATGAATAAGTAGAAAGATACTGTTTAGAAAAACTTCCCAAGGAAAAAGGGCAGCTATAACTTAGTAACCTGCTTTTTATCTAAGAGGCATACAGTATTCTGCTTCTTTGTTAAATACACTCACTGTTTTCAAACTGTAGTATTTTTAAGCCTGTCCCCTGGCAAAAGATGCTATTTAAGCTAACCAGTTTTGTCTCTTTCTATAACATCAATAGTGGAAAAACACACAAAATTAAATTCTACTTAGTGAGATGGATGAAACTCTTATCAAGCCCTCAAAAAAAAAGGGGGGGGAGGTTGGAATTATTACGATTTGCATGCTCGTGATTGCAAAAATGACCACATTAATTAATTTATAGCTTTTTAGAATAATTCTCTACTCTGAGAGCTCCTTTTTCACCCTTACTTCACAACTGCTGCAGGATGTCTCTCTTTCTGTAGTAATACCCACATGGGCTACACTAGAGATAAAGAAGAAGAAAAAGAAAAACCAAGACTCACCCATGATGTTGCATTCCAGCTTTACCCAGTACATAGGAGTTTCTCCACATTGCACCTTATCAAATTCCTTACCAGATTATTTAGCTTTTTTTTTTTTGATAAGCAATAGCTACTTTTAATAAGACATTGCAATCCCTGTAAAATATGTCTACTCATTCTGCATGAAGGTATTAGTCTGACCATTTACATCTACCTCTGAGTGATACTTACGTTCCCCCTCCAAAAAAAAAAAAAAAAAAGTCAAATATAGTGAAGGAATTATGCATGTTAATTAAAACATCTTGGTAGTGCTTCCATCTGTTTTATGTTGTAAAAGCTCCAATCATTTTCTCAATTCCATCCACCATATGTTTATCATATATTTACCATGTTTTACATTCCCTTTTCTTCTTTCTTTTTTTTTTTTTTTCTCTCCCTGATCTACTTCCGCTTCTTAGATACTGAATTTGAGACACTTAAAATATGTTGTTTAAGCTAGGTGAAAAGACATCTTCCGAGTCAGCAGCCAACTATGCCCTTTTCCTTTCTGCTTGAAGTCTTTCCATCTTTACAGGGGATTTTATTTAGTGACTGCTAAAGCCAGCATGGAACTGTCATGTGGGTCCAAAATGTAGAAGAAAGTTGACAATAATCCATTTTCTGCCTCCAATGTTGCATGAATCCCAGAAGAAGGTCCAGAAGTTTTTGAGCTTCACATTCATCCAAGTGCTCCTGATGATGCTATTCAAAGCTCCAAGCTCCACCTTCACTTCTTAAACCAACACACTTACTGAATCACATTCACTATATATTCAGCTGAAAATATTAGTTTAAAAAGAATAAATAGAAAAAAATCCCAGCAGCCTAGAATCAAAGCTTTTATACAAAATACCAAGGACAACCTGACAAAGATGATCTGTTAGTAAGACTGGCATTGTAAAAACTGGAAGGTACAATATGCACCATGAGGTGCAAATACATAGTCCTGGGTTCCTGCTCCAGAGAGCTCACAATCTAATGGAGCCAGCTTGATACAGAAGCAAAAGAAATGGTGATAAACAGGCAAGGACAAAGTGGAAAAAATATCATGGTATCAAAGCATCATAGAGTCCTTCTAAGGCTTATATACTGCATAGTGGGTATTATCCATTTTTCAAAAATAAATATAATTATTTTTTCATTACAATGACATGATACTTCTCAGTCAGGAACAAGACCCTGTTCATTTGGTTCACAAATACATATTAAAAGAGAAAGCGCTATCTCAAGAACTTCCAGTTTAAACAAACAAGACAGACAGAGGGTAGAAAACAGAGGCACACAGGAGGAAGAGGTTTTTTATCTGATTATCTAGCAAGCAGGAACAGACCCACAAAACATGTTCTTGTTTACAAAAATAATGGTCTTAATTTTTCAGTCAGTGGGTATTAACACCACCCTACAGAAAGACTTAAATGAGGAGAGTAAAAAAAGGAAAAAGAAAAGAAAAAGAAAAAAAAACAGTCACAAGACAAAGGAAAAGCTAAGATTAAAATTGGACAAAACTCCAAAAGTGGTGTCTGAGAGAAAGGGGGAAAATTTCTTCATTACAGCAGAAGCCAGTATTTAGAAATTTACTGCACTGGGCTGGCAGAAGAGTGAGAAATTTACAGGAGAAAAGAGAGAGAGGAGAGAACCTGTAGAAAGATGAAATCCTTGAGGAATAGTCTGAAATGTATTCAAAGAGGGAAAAAAAGCCAGTGGTGGAGGAGAAAACAAATAGTAGACCAAAATATGAGGCACTATGTAGTTCTCCAAAAGATTTTTCCCCTCGTACTGTAATTGTGATTTACCAGAAGAACAGAAAATTAACTTAGTACATAATTAAATACCTTGACATACCGAATTTGTCAAAAAAGACGGAAAGAAAAAAAAAACAACAAAAAACAAACAAACAAAAAAAAACTAATAAAACCCCAAACCCAACAACAACCTACCCACAAGCCAAAATACTCTCCAAAACTACAGCATCCAAACAACTTTAGAAACCTGCTGCAGAGAACAGCACAGCAATAGTCCTTCTTATTCAAGGAAATGGAGTAGCAGTAAACTTATGCATGGGTTGCAAATGTTTTCATTAGGCAAAAAATGGTTAACTGCATTCTGATCACCTTCTGCTCTCTCCAAGGCTTGTGGGAAGAGATTCTAGTATTGATGTAAATTAATAGAGCTGTAATTGTTGTCTGTTTTGTATTGCAGTGGAAATTGGATATTTGAGCAAACAAAAGATCTGTGGTCAACCCTTGAGCAGCAAACACAGACTGGCTGCACTGGGACTTTACAACCACCTGATTAAGCATGCAGAGTTCTTGCAATAAAATTCAATAAGCTGCTTCTCAGCAGTGCTGCATAGCATATGAAAAACTTATAAAACAGCTTTATATCCCTGAGATACTATGAAGCATATTCCAGCATTTGACAGTTTTTGTGCATAAGCCCACGCAAACTTCTTGGTTGAGTTGATTTTAGTAATTTAAATCCCTTCAGACTTCAAGATGCTAGAACAATCTGAACCATTTCTCAGGAGCTGGTATAAATTGCAAGAACTTCTTGTTCATTTCTTCCTGTTCACTAAACTTTTTTGCATACATTGGTCAGCCATACAAAATACTTCCCAGTTGGCCCAGCTGCATAAGAAATCAAACTAGCACAAGAAATTGAACTATTTCAGACTTTAAAAAACAAATGGCTGAAAGGTCCTATTCCTTTCCATATATACAAATTATTTAAGAAAACAAAACAAAACAAAAACAAACAACAACACTTTCTCATCCTGGATGATGGGTTTGATTAACTGCGTACTTCTTACCAGCCCTTCACTTGGCTTGATGTTTGTAAGCTGGATCACTTCAAGGTGAGCTGACTGGGAAACCAGTGGATCAGAAGAGAGTGAAATAATGTGATCACAGACGCCAGAGAGTGTTTTACACTAGGAAGGAAAAAACAAAACAAAATATAATAAACATACCATTGCTAACTGTGTATCAGCCTACAACTTAAAACATCGCATTTTTACATGTAAGTACATACTCGCTCACATTGTTGAATCTACAAGGCAAAGGGGAATAAGAAGGAAAGACCTCATTAGTCAGCAATGCAACACAAGATATGCTTTTTGTGATGACACCAAACTGACACGCTGTCAGATCAGAGGAGAAAAAGGAGCAAAGCTTTTGCTTCTCAGTAAAGACAGGAAGAGACCACACGTATTGATCCAATGCACTCTCACAAGTAGGTGCCCTACCCATGAGCTCAGGCATGTGGGGAGCACAGGGAACCCCCAAGACCCCCACTTTCCAAATCCTTTGCAGACTTTAAGTGCCCCCATGCCACCATTAATTTCAGTTGAAAGGGCAGGATGTTCAACACAGATGAAAATCAGGCTCTTAACAACAGGCAACTCCCATTAACTCTGAAGTTTATTCTGTGCTAATAAAACATGCTAATTGATCTTGGTCTGAATTTCACATGCTCTGCTGGTGCCAAGTATGATTTACCATTGCAGGCATGAAGATTACAATAAATAACCCCTTCATGATGGAATAATTCTTAAACCTATTATCCTTGGCAGCCTTTGTAGCAAGACAGAAATAAAAAAGTTTCTAAAAGGGCTGGGGCTGTCAAATGGGGACTTAGTATCTTCTCCTCACTAACTCCCTCTTGTCAGCGGCAGAGTGATAATTTATTTTCTTGCGTTCTCTCATATTTCTGTATGCTAGCATTTTTTGAGTTTCAGTATTTTCTGCGGAATCCTCTTTCAGCAGCTAAAACTGATTTCTCAGTTCAGGTTTCCAAATGTGTGTTTTGTCAGCAAATTCAGGGATCAGAACATTCGTTTGGTCTCACAACCGTGGGTAACTGCAAAAGCAATTAAGAACCAGCTTAATTGCCCTCACATTTAAAAGATTAAAGCTCACCAGTCTCCTCAAATGACTGAAACACAACTACATCCAACTGCTGCGCCCATAGCTCTTCCAAGACTGCAAAGCATACTTTTTCAAGTAAAAGTGTCTACAACAACATATGGAAATAAAACATGAAAATGGATATAATGCCCTTGCCAAATCACCATTAGAATTCTTAGTGCCAAACTGCATATATGTAGAAAAGAAAGTAAAAAAACCCCAGTGGCCAAAAAAAAAAAAGTGCCTTGATCCTGTTACAGACCATCACACTGGAATTTTCTCCTCTTTAAATTACTTGTGAACAATAAATTGTGATAGGATATAGATGGCATATATTTACTGAATGATGTTGAAAATGAATAAACAAATTAAAATCAAAAGGAAAATAACAAAATGTATATAACCAACATGACCTTCTTCTAGAGATATTACTTTTAAGCATGGACACACACACACAAATCCTTTCTGCTTTATCTTTATTTCATGATGCAGAATCATTATTGAAAAAAAGGAAGTCAAGGGACATTTAAAATGAGGTTAAGAATGCTTTGTGCTTTGTTTGAATTAGGGAGAAGTGAAAAAGTGATAAAAATGAACTTGATCACAATGTTATTTTTGTGGCTTTTGGGATACTAAACAAGTACTTTGAGCTGAAATTTTTAAAAAGGTAAAAATGATATAAAATTCCATTATTAAAAATGTAAACATAGGTATTTTAGCTTATGTTCTATTTTTAAATACAATACTGTTTTGTTATTTGTATTTTCATCTCTCTTGTAATTGTACTGAGAATTACTGAAAAATATCACTTCTAGAGACTTACAGAACACTCTGCTCCCCACATGCAAAGAAGAGGCCTACACTATAAATTACATTCTGATGATTAAAACTGAATTTTTCATATACCTGCACACTTGTATTCACCCACCTAGTCTTCCTGTTAGTCTCTTCAAAAACTACTACATTTTTGAGTCCCTAGCAGCTTCAGATCAACTTCCATTTATAAAGAATTAATATATGATTTTGTCTCCTATTCCTTACTGTCACATAGCCAAAATGCCTAGGAGTGTTCCTACCACCTAACAGGAGGTATGCCAATTTAGAGATTGGAGATGTGGCTCCTTGTTCAAACAAGAGACCTTGGCTGCCTTGGCAGATGACGGAGAAGAGTTAGGCAAGTCCATGATGTGACTCTGAACAGAAGCCTGTCTGGGAGGCATTACATAGCTTGCTGGGGCAGCTGCTCTCCCTCTGCTTCTTTGTCAGAGGGGGCACAGACGGTCTGTACTGTAAGCCTGAGGAGGTCAGCATCCCAATATGTCTCTATAAGGTACAATTGTGGAACAAGGTGGTATGAATTTTCACCAAAAGGAGCTCTGGGAAAACTGGATGCAAAAATTACCATGTCACTATGATAAAAAACAAAACAACAAAAAAGCAATGTTCTTCTATGCATTTCTTAAAGATTATTCTCTTTCAGATCTTGTAACTTTCTATCTCAGATATTTCTATCTCTGTTCTCTATTCTATCTATCTAGATATTTCTACCTTAGATATCATTCTGGTGTCCAACAGGGTACACATACCAAGCACAGTACATGAACCACAGCAAAGTCCCTAGTGGAGACCCTAGAGTTAGAGACCATACTTTCAGATTAAGGCTTCCAGTTCTATGACCCTCCCAAAATGAAAGCTCTCATTCAACATGTGAGGATGCATGAATATCTACCTTCCCAAAAGAATGAAATTTAGGGGCAAAAGTCTGATGCACTGTTATAAAATCTTTTCCACTTCATGAATATCCAGATCTGACCAGGTTGAAGACAGAGAGTTTCTAAAATTTCATTAAATGTTACCAGGTTTATTACCATTTGTTAGTATCATTCGTCTGAAAGAGCACTAAAGGACCTGAGTGATTCAGTAAGACAACTAATTGAACCCACAGAGACTTTCTTAAGAAATGGTCAATTCAGATAATGAGACCTAATCACTACATTGTTTGCTTAGTAATTATGGAAGAGCCCTGTCCAGCAACCTAACTTCATTAAAATATGTTTAGTACTTATGAGAACTGCCCTTTTCTTTAGAGGGAAAAGGAAGCTTATTGTAGGAAGATTTTGAATGTAAGACTCACTGCTATTACATAATAAACTGGCATATTTGTGTTGCCTGAATTTACTATATTTCACATATATTTGCATAGCACCAAATGAATGAGTAGATGATTTGTTTTTAATTAAGCTGCTCACCTAATTTCAGAATAGCATGCATTTTCTTTCTGTTTTCTTGATCCAAGATAATTTCAAGACTTTGGGAAGAAAAAGCAACTTTTGGATGATGGATCTACGTTCTGCCCAACCACCCAAAACTTCTGGCTGCCATAAGCAAATATCTAGCAACTCCTCCAGTTTTCTTCTGAATATATAAGCTTGTCTGTGTTGGAATACCTATAGAATCTCAAAAGTCTCCCTTAACTGTTATACATTCAAATATTTTTCATTATCACTCTATGGTTAAAGAACAAGAACAGCATGGGGCACACTGGCACGCAGTAGCTGTCTTCACCCCAGTGCAAGGAAAGGGTACACAGGCTGTCACTGAAAACATGACCAGAGGCTGACACTGCCAAAACTATGCATTTCCTGACACAAATGCAAGTAGCACAAATAATTCCAGAATGGATTATAGAAGGTATTGTGAGGCTTAGTTTAGTTATTAGCCAAGAGTCCATAGACATAAAAGGACAGTACACTGACTAATGCAGAATGCATTTACCTCAAGTCCTTTTCTGCTGAATTGAATTTCTCAGTTTAAGGTGGTGTGCACAGCTTTTGTATCTTGAAGTACACATGTCATTTGTATATTATTTTTTCAAGCTGGATAACCACTTTGAAACAATTATTTCCTCTCCATTTTTGTGAGAGAGGGGAGGAAATTAGCAAGAGAGGTTCAGCCTTCTACCTATACTGGGGATGCTATTTCACTTCAGCTTTTAAAATAGAAGTTCTAATACTATCATACATCAGAGTGAAGGATCTGAAGTTTAGCAAGTACAGGCTGAAGATATAATACTTTTTCCTTTTGAAAACTTGCCCACATTTACTAAGCCCAAGCCTGGAATATTGAAATTTGTAGATGCACAGTATAGATTTAGATAGACCTGCACCATGCAGTGTAAAGCACTGTAGTCAGTGCAGAAATATCTCAGTCCTGGTTTGTGGCTTTCCTAAACATTTCACAGCAGCTCATCAGGTTTGTTCCATATGCATTGCTTGGGAGCTCATCATTCAAGCAACTTCTAAATGTCTAGATCCACCATTACATTCAGTGCTTTACTAAATTTTCCCCTAAGCTCTCCAGACTTCACTGGAGCTTTCACCTTGGCAGATGCAAATGGAACAAATTATGCAGGTGACAGAAATACCTTGTTTTTTGTTATTAATATTTTTAATATTTCCTTTGATGGAAAGTAATGGACTGACATAGTATTTTGCACATACGCTACCCAATTAATTTAAGTGGAAGAAAAGCACACCAACAGTGCACATGTGTTACTCATTTTGTTCCAAACAATTTACAAAGACTGTTTTTTCATCATAACTATCCAGCACAAGCTGTATCAGAGACATGTATTTTAGTTTCACTAAAATGTGATGACAGTACAGTTCACCTTCTCTCTCAAATGGCAGTTACCTTTTGTTACTTTGTAGAACTACATTTCTGATTATGAAAATGTTGTTAACAGGATCAGGATGCTTTACCATACTTTTGTAACTGCTGATTCCCTACTGTAATGCAATTTAAAAACACCTGTGTGGTCCTTCAGTACCTTATAGATTTGTAAATATAGCAAATTAATTTGGAGGCTATAGCTTTTCTTCTGCCCTGGGCTGGACATCTTTTCTTTCACCTTTGCAAGGTACAAATAGGAATGTTACCCAAATTAATCTAGCACTTGTCCCTTTGCCATTTTCTGACTTCAGCAGAGAAGATGCACACTCGTATGCAGTGGCTGTACTTCTCA